AACATATAAACATACATACATACAAACAAACATAAATACATACAAACATACAAACAATCTAAGATGGCGTTTAAGATTCTCTTTCAAAATTTGCAAAAGAGCAAAGAAAATTTATTATGAAAAGCTGAAAGTCAATGAACCCAGAATCTCTTCAATGTTCTTTGATGTTTTTTTGTAGCTGTTGTTAGCTTTGTCAATAATGTTGTTGTTGTTATTGCTGATTTTGTTGTAGTTGCTGTTGTTGATTTTGCTGTTGTTGTTGATGTTTTGATGTTGATGTTGTTGATATCGTTGGCTGTGTTCATAATGTTTTTCATGTCATGTTGTTGATGTTATGGTTGATGCACTGGTAGCGATGTTATACTACTATTGGTTGCTGTTGCTGATATTATCGAAGCTGCTGTTGTTATTGTTGTTTTTGCGGCTGATGTTGATGTTGTTGATGTTGTTGTTGTTGATGTTGTTGTTGTTGGTTTTGTTATTGATGTTGTTATTGTTGTTGATGTTGTTGTTGATGTAAGAGCTGTTGAGAGTGACGAATGAAGAGGAGGGGTGCTGTTTTTTTAAGTGCAGTATTTTTATCAAGTAGAAAATTGAAAAAATTTACCCGATAAGCGAAAGAAAGCCAACAGCTTAGCGCTAGCCACAGCAGTAAAATTCTTTCATTTTTTGGCCCATAAAAGTTCAATTTTAAATTAGCCCCCACCCTCTGACCCGTTTGGGTTTTTGTTGATGTTATTATAACGATAATGGTTACGATTGAATAATTGATGGTGTGGTGTATTTTCTGCACGTGTTCTAAGCAAAGTCGTTCAATGTTATGATTTGATAGGCGAATTCTCTATTTGTGTGTGTGTGTGTGTATGTATGTGTATATGTATGTATGTATCTATGTACCTATGTATGTATGCATGTTTGTATGTATTTATGTATGCATGTATGTTTGTTTGCATGTATGTATGTATGTTTGTATGTATGTATGTATGTATGTAGGTATGTATGTATGTATGTATGTTTGTATGCAGGTATGTTTGTATGCAGGTATGTATGTATGCATGTTTGAATGTATTTTTGTATGCATATATGTTTGTTTGTATGTATGTATGTATTTATGTATGCATATATGTTTGTTTGTATGTATGTATGTATGTATGTATGTATGTATGTATGTATGTATGTATATATGTATGTATGTATGTATGTATGTATGTATGTATGTATGTATGCATGTTTGTATGTATTTATGTATGCATGTATGTATGTATGTATGTATGTATGTTTGTTTGTATGTATGTATTTGTATACATGACCATCGGTTATTTTTTTTAATTATAAAAGTATGTAGCGGTCATACTTTTCATTTTTTTTTCTGCGGAAAAATTTTGCTAAACTGAATTGATGCAGTTGAATGTTTTTGTTGTTGAAATTGTTGTTGTTGAAGTTGCTGTTGTTGATGCTGTTGTTGCTGTTGTTGTTGATGATGATGTTGTTAATGTGGTTGTTGATGTTGAAGTTGATGTGGTTGTTGATGTTGAAGTTGATGTTT